TATTTGCATTTTCCAACCAAAATATTACTTTGAAAACATAGAAAATTAAACACAATGATGACACCAAATATGTTCTGTCTTAAGATTGTTGAACAATCTTCACTGTATTTAAAAAGATAAATTATGTTTGTGTACTTAACAACAAACAGAATACAGAAGAAATAGCAGAAATAAGAGAAACAAGTTTGATTATAAAAATCAAACTAGAAATAAAAAAATAAAAAAAAACAAATTTTTTTTTTTGTTACAAAAACAAAATTAAAATCTGATTTAAATAAATAAAAACAACACTGAAAATAAATTAAATAACTTACTTGATTTAATTTCTTCGAATTATAATCTGATCAAGTCCAGTGTTTGACACTGCGTCCTTAAGACAGATTCGTCCTCTCCACGGTGCTTTCAGAAATTAGACGTCTATCTCCCAGGATGAAATGATCTACTACAAACAATAGCAGCACTACAAATTGTTTGCCTTACGAACACATTAAATGTTTACACACTTTCTTTCAGAAAATAAATGCAGCAAAATGCAGAGATTTATATCAGATGATGGAGTACGAAAATTAGAGTTCCAAAATCCAAATGATGGCTGTCCTATTTATAGATGTAATGGTGGCTGTAGGCTTTGAATTGAATAGGTATGAAACCTGTTGGTTTTGAATTCAAACAGATTTGAATATGTTGAATTACAATTTAAACAGATAACAAAAATGGGAAGGGCCCTGTTTAAAACCAAACCAGTTTAATTTTGAATTATGGATTTTATTTTACCAAAAAATAAAATTAAATTCAAATATTTTTGGCCCAAAAAGATTAGTATTGGGCCGAACAAGCCCAACCCAACCTCACACCACACACCACACACCACACACCACACACCACACACCTGCGCCCAAACCCAAGCCGCATATGTGTGGTGATTTTTCAGTCCAATGGGTCTAGCCCATTTTGCCCATAACCTCTCTCTCTAAAACACTTGGGTACCCTTTGGGGCACACCCCAAACACCAAACCCAAGCTTTATAAACCCATTCAAAACCTCCCACCAAATCAATGTGGGACAAGCCATTTTACAACCTTAAGGAATTTCCACCAAAACTTCATTTCCATGGAGCACACTTTGGCTTTAATTTTCCATTCACTCAATAATGGTTTTGAGCAACCAAATATACCATGTGAATCACAACGCGACATAGAACGCGTTACCACTTAGACTCGCCAATTTTGGCACATGAGTCCCACCTAAAAAAATAGACCAAAGTTTAGGAAAAATCTAATTTTCCAAAACCATTTCTAACAATCCCCCACATGAATGGAATTTGATGACAACGGAAATGCAACAATATGCAGACTTAACCAAAAGTGTATAAGTCGAAAATATCTTGCATCAGGATAGGTAGTTTTCGGCCTTGAACCTTCCCTAGTGATAACCTATCGGACTTACTGGCTAACCAATGGACGCGATGCCTTGAATTGTTCAGCCGTTTGTGTAAGCCAAGACAATAGATTTCACACAAAATATCTTCTAACACATCGTGGTTCTCACTGTTGTGTTCATTTTGGCCTTGAACGCCACAGAGTACTTGGAGAACAGGAAGAACATCCTTAAATAAGCATTGGTTCCTCAACCTCCAAACTGACCATAAAACTACAGAGGGAATAATCTTCCAAACTTTGAGTACCCAAGACTTGAGATTGTATCTGCCCCCATTCCACCACTGCAACAGACCTTCTATAGAACCTGGAATAGCCCAAATCTGATCCCACCACTCTACCATATGAGACCAGCACTTCCATACCAAAGGACACATCAGTAGCACATGCTCAACAGTTTCTATCTCCGCTTAGCAAAAAATGCACAAATTACTAGCACTCAAATGAAGAGCCCCAATTCTTTGAAGAAACGATGAGGTTTTAACTATGCCACGCCAAGCCAACCAACAGAAAAATTGCATCTTTTGAGGGGCCAAACTCACCCAGACCCCTGCTGGGACTACCAGGTCATTCCCACCAGATGCAGCCCTCCACCTCCACACAGAGGCAACTGAAAACTGACCTGTCTTCTCTGCTAACTAGGAGCAGGAATCCTCATCACCATCTCTGAGCCTAAAAGTTAAGAGCAGCATGCCTAACAGCCTCTTTAAATCCTCTTATTCCCAAGCTAAGAGAGTCCTTCTGAATTGAAGCTACCACCCACCTGAGGCACCAATCTTTGCACTAAGCTGCTGCAAGGAATCCTCCTTCTCTGTGGATAAGCTAAACAATCTAGGAAATTCATCCTTCAAGCCTTTGCCACCTTTGTCTAGATCTCTCACTATCTCTCTTCATACAATCTCGTTCTCTCTATATCTGCGTACACATTATCTGACCTTTTTTAGATAATTTTTCTTCTCCTAAAAATCTCTCTATACAAGTATATATATGAATTTATATATCTATCTCTATGTATTGATTGAATAATCATCCTTATTTTATTTTCAGGTTCTTGACTGATCCGATCATTGATCGGCGGTGGTGGAAAGATCCACTCCTTTGAGAAAAGAAACCCCAACTTTCTCATTGGAGGTAAGTTCTAATCTATTTGTTTACATGTTTGTTTTGGTTTTGATCTTGTTTAGATTTGTATTGAACAACTCTTTGTTAGCTTTTTGTTTACTGTTTAGGAATTGATTTCAATTTGTTAGTTTTTGTAGTTTCTTTGAAGATTCAACAAAATTCACAAAGAATTTACACGTGTGAAGCTCTATTTCTTCACCTATGTGTTGCCACCAAAAGGCTGAGACAAACAGCCTCGTTTAGCATCCCAAGATTGCCATTTTCAATTTCTAAAGATTCATCACCATTGTCTTCAAATCTTTGACAATCTTGAGTCCAAATCTTCCCTTCACATTTTACTTTGACTTAACACAAATGATTTTAAGTTTTGTCAAGAGATGTATTGTCAAAGCACTAAAACATTTAGGATTAAAATCCTAAGATATATATTTTTTGTGAAAATGAAAAACAATACCTCAAAAATATGCAAGTGTGGTGCCATGGCCTATTATAGACAAAGAATACATATTTTCTCACATTACTAGCTATTGGAGATTGTAAAGACTATGAATTATAATTCAAAAAAATGTTTAAAATTTGTAAAGTTCAAATTGCCAAACTGATCGCATCCATCCGCCAGCTTGCATGGCTTGCTCAATTCGCATCCGTCAAACTAATGGACGGATGCGGATTGATTTTTTTCAATCTGCCTAATTCTCGATCCACGATCACCCCTAATTATAATAGGCGGAATTACATCCTGGTGGGACAAAAAAAATTTTCTACACAAACATTGTAAAGTGCAAGTTACACTTGCACCCCATTATAAAATCACTTACATTCTACATATTTTTATAAATTTTAATTTTAATTTTAATTGTTTTTTAAATCTATCTCACTATTTTATAATTCTCTCTTTTTGGATATCATCTTTTCATTTTATCATTCCACCTATGCCTTACGTTATTGGCCTTTTCTACCTACCATATCTATACTAAGGCCAAGTTTGGCATGATTGAAAAAAGACAAAAAGTCAAAAAGTCACTATCCTATTTAAGTCACATCATCTTATTTAAGTCACATCACCTCTCTAACACATCACTTCAAACCCAACCCAAACCTAACCCATATTTCATAAAAAGTCAAAAAGTACACTTATTTAGTCTTCCCAAACTAGGCTTAAAATTGAATATTTGTAAGAACAAAAATTAATAGAAGCTTTTGCAAACTGCAACATACTTTAACTGATATTGTGAATAACAAATATAAAAATATTTTTTTGTCTTATTTGAATATTTTTTATATAAAATACTGAGATTAATTTTAAATTTAGAAATTCAAAAAAAAAAAGAGAGAGAAAAGTGATTATTGCTTTTAAATTTAAAAATTGAACCCATAAGATGAAAATTTGGGAAAAAGAGGGGAAAAAAAGAAAAAAGAAAAAAGAAAAAGAAAAGGAGAAATAAAACCTGAGTTAGGAAGAAAATATGTCATTGTTACACATCACACTCATATTTTACCCTGTTTGTTTTTTTATTTTAGTGAATTTTTATATATTTTGTTAATTTTTTATGCAACTAATTTAAAAACATCTAAAAAATACATACACTAAGTCGAGTCAAGTAATTAGTTGTTCAAATTTAAGTAGATAACCTAACAATCTTAAAATTATGTTTAAATTTGATTTATTTATATAACGAGTTGATTTTGAATAGATTTTTAACCAGTCGAACTCGAGTAATTTAATTTTTTTATAATAAATATAAACTTATTGAGTTGAAAAGTAAATTGTTCAAACTTGATTTGAAATTTTAATGAATTTTAAATTGTATTTAAATTTAATTTATTTTAACACAAGTTAAATTTGATTAATTCGATTGATTTACATGATGAAATAAAATTTTTAAAAAAATACCAAAAAAAATGCTAACACTTTAATTTTTTAATATCTCGACGGGAAAAGTGATTACTTACGTCATCTACATAGTCAGCTCGTCGGAATATTCTCAATCAAATTCAACTTTGGCGTAAATATTTTGACATCATTATTTAATTTTTGAAATAGAGTTTGAATTGTATTTTAAAAAATAAATTATTGAAAAGAGTTTTAAAAGTTAAAAATTTATTTGATTATGAGTTTTGAAAGTAATTTTGAGTTGATTTATATATTTTTTTTAATTAAATAAATGAATGTGAGAGAAAATATAATTAATTGATGTGTAAAAATAAGAAAAAGGGATATGAAAGAAAAAAATGATTGATTAATTTATTAATTAATAATGATAAAAAAAATAGAAAGAAGAGAGATAATTGAATTTTAAATCATATTTTAAAAATTCATTAATCAAATAAATTTTTTATTTTTTAATTCAAATCATATTTTAAAAATTAAGCTAACATTGCCTTTGTTTTTATAAATACTCCGACATAGTTAAAAATAATCAAATTACTTTCAAACCTCAATTCTCAAAACGCAAAAAACACTTCTGAAATCACTTCCCAAAACCAAAACAAAAAAAATCAAGTCCACAACAACAACAACAACAACAACAACAGTTGATTCATATTGATTCAGCTATTGGCTTCTTACTCGTCACAATACCCCACCACACAAGGAGGGAAAAAAAAATATCACTAAAACCAAAACCAAAAGGAAAAACAGTTCTTATCAGATAAAGATTGTTTGCTTTACAAAAAATTTCGAACCAATTTCCGACTATGGAGCCGCCGGAAAACACCGCCGGAGCAATCGAATCAGCCGAGAAAATCATCCTCCGGTGGGACTCCACGGCGTCGGAGGAAGCCAGAGAGCGTATGATCTTCGATTCCGATCGTCAAGAGATCGATCGATACTTGCAAGCCGTTGATGAGATTCAACGATCGATGGAATCGGTGACTGTGACCGATGATCAGAACAAGGTCAATGGTGCGATCCAGATCGCCATGGCTAGGCTCGAGGACGAGTTTCGTAATATCCTGATTTCACATACTGGACCTGTTGAAGCCGAATCGTTAGTCGAATCGGTTCGATCTACTCCGAGAGCTGATAGCACTGGAGTTGATTTTCCAGAAGAAGATTACTCGTTTGAAGATTCGGTGGTGAGCAAGGAAGTTGAAGTGGAGTTTCATGTTGGAGAGAGTAGTAGTAGAAGTAGTAGTAGTTCCAAGTATCAATCTACTACTAGTATTCGCGAGATCGATTTGATTCCATCGGAAGCGATTTACGATCTCCGAAGCATCGCGGAGAGGATGATCTCAGCTGGATATTTCCGCGAGTGTGTTCAGGTTTACGGCAGTGTTCGCAAATCCGCCATGGACGCGAGCTTTCGACAGCTTGGAATCGAGAAATTGAGCATCGGTGATATACAGAGACTCGAATGGGAAGTGTTGGAGACGAAGATCAAGAAGTGGATTCGAGCCGCAAAAGTCTGTATTCGAATCCTCTTCGCGAGTGAGAAAAAGCTCTGCGAGCAAATTTTCGAGGGTTTAGGTACCGCTTCAGATGATTCGTGTTTCATTGAAACCGTGAAAGGTCCAGCAATTCAACTCTTCAATTTCGCTGAAGCTATCAGTATCAGTCGCCGATCGCCGGAAAAGCTGTTCAAGATCTTGGATCTGCACGATGCGTTATCGGATTTGTTACCGGACGTTGATGTTGTTTTCGAATCGAAATCGGCGGAGTCGATTCGAGTTCAGGCGGCGGAGATTCAGTCCAGGCTTGCTGAGGCAGCGAGAGGAATTTTATCAGAATTCGAGAACGCAATTCTTCGTGAGCCTTCGAGGATTCCGGTTCCCGGAGGTACAATTCATCCTTTGACTAGATATGTGATGAATTATATAAGCTTGATCTCTGATTACAAACAAACTTTGATTGAATTGATTGTGTCTAAACCTCCGACGGGGTCGAGGTACTCTGGCGATCCTACGACCCCTGATATGGAATTCGCGGAGCTAGAGGGACGAACCCCTCTGGCGCTCCACTTGATTTGGATAATTGTGATTTTACAATTCAATTTGGATGGGAAGTCCAAGCTCTATAAAGACGCCTCTTTGGCTCACTTGTTCATGATGAACAATGTTCATTACATTGTTCAGAAAATCAAGGGTTCACCGGAGTTGAGAGAGATGATCGGAGACGATTATCTGAAGAAATTAACTGGGAAGTTTAGACAGGCCGCCACAAGCTATCAGAGAGCAACTTGGGTTAGGGTTTTGTATTGTTTGAGAGATGAGGGGTTACATGTGAGTGGGAGTTTCTCGTCTGGGGTTTCAAAGAGTGCTTTGAGAGAGAGGTTTAAGACCTTCAATGCCATGTTTGAGGAGGTTCACCGGACTCAGGCGACGTGGTTGATACCCGATAACCAGCTCCGGGAGGAGCTCCGGATATCAATTTCGGAGAAGTTGATTCCGGCTTACAGGTCATTCCTAGGCCGGTTCAGGAGCCATATAGAGAGTGGAAAGCACCCCGAGACGTATATCAAGTACTCAGTTGAGGACCTAGAAACCGCAGTCTTGGATTTCTTCGAGGGTTACCCAGTTTCACAACACTTGCGGAGGAGATCTCAGTGAAAGAGCGGGATGAATTTTACCGGTTAGAACCTAGGAAACATTCTTTAAATCTTTTTGTAGAGCATATTAGGTGTGGTTCTGGTCATTTTGGGCTTTTCTTCAGCTCTTACAAAAGGATTACCGGCTAATTTTTCTGTGGACACTCTTAGAGATTGAAGCGTGAACAAGATGAATTACCACTCTCCAGAATCACCGAGACCCTCAACCTGAATTCTTCTGTCCTGTAAGGATGTTGTTGTTTGATTTGTTACTACATTTCTAGATTATTTTTCTGTTTTCATTTGTTCATATGGGAATTGTTGTGTGTTGTTGTACTATGATATTTACCGGCAATTATGATTTTCGAACTAGAAAACAGTAACTAGTTAAGTTTTGATAACCTTGGAAGTTAGGGAACACAATAATTTGGGGGGTTTTATTAGAAAGCATTAAGCATTTAACAGTGTAAAAGTATTGTGATAATGAAACAACAATTCTCATCTAGTGTGGCACTCAGGTAATTACCTGGATTACTTCATCTTGTTAGAATTGTTACAAGTTTGGCCATTCTTTTTGGCATTGTTTTTACACAACGTGTTAGTTTTCTATACTACTAGTGCTGTATTTTACTGTAATTTCAGTTCTAACATTCATTTGAGATTCAAGTTTATGACTGATATCACTCCATTATTGAGCATTGATAGTTATGGGAATTCCATACGTTGCATCTGAATTGTCTTTGATTGAATAATAAAGAGTTCGCATTGCTTTCATTCTGGCACGTATATGAAACTCTGACAGATTTCATAAGAACTTCATGTTAAATCTTTTGATTTCATTCTAGCATTCATTTGTTTGAATGATGAATTGGCATTGGTTGAATGATAAAGTCTTTACTTCTTTTTCCAAATGAAAAAGTTTTCCTTATTCTTGGAAATGCAACAGTTACATAAAAATCATTGAAAACCGAGTTTCAAATTTTCACTCTTTGATGCTGAGTACAAGTCTCTTGGTTCATCCCTAGGCATCCATTAAGATACTGCCAAAATAGCACCTAGCAATCTGTTGTTTGGATTGCATGATCCAAACTGTTGAACTCTTCCTTTTCAAAGCTTTAAATTTAGAAGTTGATGAGCCATGGCTAAATATAGAACATGTGTGTCCTCGAAATGCTGTGTAAAAAAATAATTTAAAAAATTGACATGTCATGTGATGTGTCCAAGTCAAAATTAATTTAAAAAATTGACATGTCATGGGGCGTGTTCAAGTCAAGATTGTTAAAATTAGGATTTTACGTTAGATCTTTGGAGGTGTTTATAGGATCGGATCGTAGAATCGGATCAAAGATCGTAAGGTCTTACCAAAAAAGATAAATTACATAATAATTTAATTTAAATGAATATTTCTTAAAAAGTATACACAAAATGAATCTATATTTTATTAAAAAGAAGTGAAGATATTGTAAAAAATATAATACTCCATGTAAAATGTATGTATAATATTGTGCAATAGAAAATTCGATGGTAAAAGTTTTGTATTTCATCAAAAAAGAAGGTGAAGAAGAATTTTATAATAAAATACTTTACAATCTACAATAATGCATAAAAAGTGAAGAAAAAATATTTAACAAAGTTGGATATGAAAATAGATTAAAAACCCAAGAGAGCAACTTAACTGAATGATAAGGTTTGTTGTTAGCATCACTGGTGGAGCGGATTCAAGTCACAAAAATAATCTCTCAAAAAATTGAAAAAAAGTTGCAATCATCTTACCTTCCTTAGACTCCGTTAAAGCTAAGTTTGTTTTTTTGACTAGTTAATTTTCGTAAATTACTGCAATATTTGAATGTTTTTTTCCAAGTTTATTTTTCTTAGTTTATTTGATTCAATATTACTTAATTTTTATTATTTATTTTGACCACATAAATTGATATTTAGACAATAAATATAAAATTTATAATAAAATATGTCATACAATACAAAACAAGATTTGTAAATTGGATCGGATAGGATCGGGATTTCACGACCCTATAAGATCCCATTACCAGGATCGAAAGATCATACCTATAAATAATGTTTTACATGATCGATCGATTGTATTCAAATGAATCGTAAAATCGTAGGATTATAAGATCTAGATCAAGATTTTGATAATCATAATCCAAGTAAACAGAGTGTCGACGACATGTCAACGTCTAACACGTGTTGAGCACAGACACGACACCCATTTTGACATGCCCTAAAAACCAATGTTGATACACCCTCAGCACCAAATGCTGGGAATATTGTTTTAACTTGTGCAATGGACATGTTAGACCAAAGAGCAATTTTCTCTCTTGCAGCAAAAGACTTTTAAAATGAAGAGTACATAGAGCAATAAGTCGAGAATGTTAATTATTGGACTTTCATTGAGGAAGCAAGACTTACATGAAGATTTCAAATAAGTGGGTCTAACAAAGGGTCTCTTTCAACTTCTTCATAGAATTATTAAATTTGGACATTTGTCAGTCAAACAAAGCTTCTGTGGTGAAATTTCTCTGTATCTGCCAACATTCTGTATGTTGACTCTCTATTCACAGACTTTCAATGGGTATGCTTTTTTTTACAATTTTTATTCGTAATTTTGTATTTTTAGTAATTTTTTTAATATTTTAATAATTTTTTAAAACTTTTTTAGATTTATTTAATCTTGATATACTTAAAAAGTTTAAAATTTGTATAATTTTTTTTTAAAATTTCATTGAATACAATAAAATATGAAAATGTATTGAATTTTTGTATTTTTTTTTATATTTGATAAAAATTTTACAATTCTTTTTTTCTTAAATATTATATTTTTAATTATATTTAGATTAGGTGTATTTAAAAAATAAAATATTTGCGTGAAATATTAAAAAAAATTCATAAAAAAAAAATATGAAAATAAAAAATTGAACTAAAAAAAAAACAAAAATAACGAAACAAGTATTTTTATAATTTTTTTTTAATATTCAACTGCAATATTTCTTTCCCCTTTTCAGTCAAAAAGGCTTACTTGTATCTAATAAACTTTTTTCAATTTTTGACAACCAAATTTTTAAAGGATTTTTCAGCTAAGGCCTTGTTTGGGAATATATTTTTTAGTAATTTTTTAATTTTCTGATTAAAATATAATATAAAAAAATTTAGTATGTTTGTGATGAATTTTTAGTTTTTTACAAAAATATATGCAAAAAGTAAAAAGTAAAAAGAATCTTTGACTTTTTGATATAGTTGTTAGTTTTTTTAATTTTTTTAGTGATTTTTTAATTTTTAGGTTAAAAATTGATATTGTCAAATGATGTCTAAATTTAACTTATTTTTAATTTTTTTTTTAACTTTTTATTCTTTTTTGAGGTCAACTATGACGGACTTATTTATTTGAAAAAAAACTCAAAATAGTAAAGAGTTCATAAAAGCAAAAATAAGCCCCCCCAAAAAAAAGAAAAAAAAAATCTCAAAACTTGATTCTTCCCAATATTATGGTTGGATATTGGTTTATTATTCAAACAAGTTAAATTTTAACATACTTTTAACATATTTTAAAAATTGTTAAGCTTTGAAGTTAAGTTTAAACAATATATTAGTCGGCTTGATAAGTCTATATGCACTATAAAATACACGAATTTAGCTCAATAAAAGCTTGTTTGGAATTAATTGGTTATATGAATAAAACAAGTTTGAACAAGTTTTGAAATTTATTAAATTTTCAAAGTAAATTTAAACAAGTTATTACTCAATTCATTTGTAGTCCCAATTACATTGACTTTGATTTTTATTTGAAAAAAACTACTATTCAATCTATTTGACTAAAAATATTTATAAATCATGGAGGTATAATTTTTTACACAAAAGGGTTGATTTTGGTAATTTTTCCCTTACCTCCCACTAAATAGTAATTTCCCCTTTATATTTCAACTTAAACATCATTTCTTTGTAATTATCAAATGCCAAACAAGATATTGATGTATTTACTTCATTGACTATCATAAAGAGAGAAAAATACTTAACGGACCACCATTAATAGAGTTGTTGATTCAGTGCAAGTCATCCGTACATTATTTGTTTTGTCTTTTAGTGATTTTGACAGACTCCCACAAGATATTTCTTGTTGATTTATTTTTTATTAATATTTTTTACAGAAATAGGAAAAATATTTTGCTATTAAGCGCTGCTACACACTCCAGTGACGTGGCGTGCTTCCATTGACCAAATTTTTTTTTTTCCTTTCCTTCCAATCTTGCAGTGCCACGTGGCACTGGAGGGGTCGCTGGGGGTGGGGTTTACTGGGGGTCGGACGCATTTTTGTTTTGCTATTACTATCAAATATTCATCCTAGCTATAATGCACACAAGGCCTCGTTTGGCATGGAGTGTTTTAATTTAAAAGTTAAAAAATTATTAATAAAATTAAAAAATTTATAACTTATACTAAAAAGTTAAAGATTTTTTTTTCCTATTTTTTATACATCTTTTCGTAAAAAATTAAAAAATTATTTCAAATATATTAATTTTTTTTATCCCATATTCTAACTAAAAAACTAATAAAAACGCGGCTAGGTTAAGCTTTTGTTGGCAAAAATCAATACCTTATCCTGAGTAGTCCCTATCACAAACTAACTCCCACTCACATGGAGAGGTTGAAAAATATCGATTTGGGTCCGGTTTGATTTGAATTTAAGTTCAGAAATATAAAAATTCCTTGTGTCTAAATCTAGCAGAATCAACTTTTAAGCCTTAAAATCGATCTCAAACCATGCCCTACTAGTCTTATAATATTGAGACCATCCCCCAAACTCCTAGAATAAATAAAACAAATATTATAAAATTAATAATTTTGAAGTTGAGTTTAATATTTAACAATTACATCTTTAGTATAGGCTTAGTTAACTATGTTTTTCCTTCTTTAGTGCATCTTTTTTATTTTTAAATAATAATAATCACATACAACTAATTTTTATATGAATAAAGCTTGGTAGTTCGAATAGTTGGAAGCTCGAATTGTTCCAAATTCAAAACGACGTCGTTTTGATTTTCCCTCCCCCCCTCTCTTTAAACAGGAAGAAGAGAGCTGAGAGAAGAGAGAAGGGAGAAGAGGGAAGAGAGAGAGAAGAGGGAGGAGAGCAACGGTGTGATGGCGACGACAGACTGTGTATACACACAGAGCAAGCAACAGTGATGGTGATGGGCGACGGAGAGACGGAGAGCAACGGTGAGGGCGACGACGGCTTCTTCCTCCTCTCCTTCTTCCTCTGTTCTTCTCTGTTCTTCTCTCTATTTCTTTTCTTTTTCTTTCTTCCTCTGTTGCTGTGGGTTCGTTTTTTTTTTTTCATTTTCATTTTGATTTTGATTTTTTTGATTTGTGTAAATTTGGTGATTTGTGAGTTTTTTTGAGTTTTTTATTTAGATTTAGATTTAGATTTTCATGTGGGTTTGCCTGTTGATTTTTTTTTTTTTTTTTTTTCTGGGAGGAGGGTGAAGTTTTGGTCTTCAAGAGAGTAAGCATTGTAACTTTGTGCACTTAGGTTGTGTTTGGACAATAGATTTGGATAGGTACTACAAAAATAGTTAAAGATCACACTTTGACAAAAAAAAATCTCACTTTTATTAGAAGTGTGATAAAAAAAAATTAGATTGATATTTTAATCATACT